AGGTATGAATTGTGTTCTATTGTAAGTTTCCAGATCTGGCTTTTAATTTTCTCAGTGTTTGATTAAATGGCATGTTGGTTTTTGACACATGTCAACTGCAAGTTATGTTGTAGAATCATATGGCTCATCTATGCTCACTAGTTAGGTTGGTGTGAGGGTGGATCAGTTGTATGGCAGTGACTGACTAACTTGAGGGAAAACCGAAATTTTGAGGCAAATTTCAGGTTCTTCCCTGATTTAGGGACAGTCAAAAGAGCAAGAACTGGTGATTGCTTCTTAGTAACTGGTGATTGCTGGTGAATGCTTCTTTTCCATCTACGACAAGTGAGGCAATTAGCACCCTACCTATCTGATGAGGCTCTGGCAACAGTCATCCATGCCACGGTCATGTCTAGGCTGGACTATTGCAACGCCCTGTATGTTGGCCTTCCGATGTCTACGACCCGAAGGCTCCATATTGTTCAGAATGCGGCAGCCAGGTTACTCACAAGAACGCCCATGAAATGCCATATAACACCACTGCTGCAACATTTACATTGGCTTCCAACTGAGTACCGTGGCCTGTATAAGATGTTAGTTCTGACCTTTAAAACTCTTTACGGCCAGGGTCCATCATACCTTAGGGACCGTCTCTCATTCTCCCATCATCGGAGGTCGCAACGACCATCCCAACGTGACTTACTTTATATACCGGGTCCTAGAGAAGTGCACCTGGAAAGGACCAGATGCAGAGCTTTTTCTATTTCTGCCCCTGCCTTGTGGAATTCCTTGCTGCCCTATATGAGAGCCATGCGTGAGTTAGGGCCTTTTACCCTAGCACTTAAGACTTGGCTTTTTACTAGAGCTTTTGATCTATGTTAATTTTATCAATATCTGTATGTATGTATTTTTATCCTTTACAATTTTAGCTTGTAAATCCCCTGAGCATCTTGGATGGAGGGCGATTAATAAGTAATTAGATGATGATGATGATGATGATGATGATGATGATGATAGTAGCCACCTTATGCTCCAAAGGCTCAGGTGGACCAGGGGTGTGAGATGGCTGTCAACTCCATCTTCTCTCCCCACTTGCCTGCTGTGAGGCAGTCTGGCAAGCTTCTGAAACAGTAATGACACTATAGCAGCGGTAGAAAAATGGTAAAACTTTTCCTTTTCTTCTCTCTTCATTCCACACTTTCTTTATTTTTTCTTTTTTTAAAATACATAAACATTACTTCGGATATAGCTTGTAGATTGTCTCATTTGTATATTTGTACCCTGTATTTTATAACCTTTCAGTTATAAGGCCAAACAAGTAAATGCTCCTCTGGGAGCTTTTATGAAAAGTTCTAAATGGGTTTGTTCTTGTGACTTGGTTTCTGTTGAAACATTTGACAGTTTTTTCTTATATGCCCTAAATATAATAAGATAAGAAAACCCAAGATTATGGCAACCAGACTAATCAATAACTGGCAAATAGAGGGAGAAAACGTGGAGGCAGTGACAGACTTTGCAAATACTACAGCAGATGCAGACTGAAGCCAGGAAATCAGAAGACATTTACTTCTTGGGAGGAGAGCAATGACTAATCTTGATAAAACAGTGAAGAGTAGGGACATCTCACCGGCAATGACAATCCGCATAGTTAAAGCAATGATATCCCCTGTAGTAACATATGGATGTGAGAGCTGGATCATAGGGAAGGCTGAGCGCAAGAAGATAGATGCCTTTGAACTGTGGTGTTGGAGGAAAATTCTGAGAGTGTCTTGGACAGCGAGAAGATCCAACTAGTCCATACTTCAGAAAATAAAGCCCAACTGCTCATTGGAGGGAAGGATATTAGAGGCAAAGATGAAGTACTTTGGCCACATCATGAGAAGACAGGAAAGGTTAAAGAAGACAGTGATGTTGGGGAAAATGGAAGAAAAAAGGAAGAGGGGCCGACCAAGGGCAAGATGGATGGATGGTATCTTTGAAGTGACTGGCTTGACTCTGAAGGAGCTGGGGGTGGTGACAGCCAACAGGGAGCTCTGGCGTGGGCTGGTCCACGAGGTCACGAAGAGTCGGAAGCGACTGAACAAATAAACAACAGCAAAATGATAAGATACGGTCGAAATACAGGAATTCCATTTTTGCAGTGTTCTCAATGGCAAGGGTTTTATAATATTCCATACCTCCTGAACAACTCTGATGCATTCTTTTGCAAGACTGTTGCAAGTTTTATTCTTGAGATTAACCATTTTTAATCATAGAATCATAGAATCAAAGAGTTGGAAGAGACCTCATGGGCCATCCAGTCCAACCCCCTGCCAAGAAGCAGGAATATTGCATTCAAATCACCCCTGACAAATGGCCATCCAGCCTCTGCTTAAAAGCTTCCAAGGAAGGAGCCTCCACCACACTCCGGGGCAGAGAGTTCCACTGCTAAACGGCTCTCACAGTCAGGAATTTCTTCCTAATGTTCAGATGGAATCTCCTCTCTTGTAGTTTGAAGCCATTGTTCCGCGTCCTAATCTCCAAGGAAGCAGAAAACAAGCTTGCTCCCTCCTCCCTGTGGCTTCCTCTCACATATTTATAGATGGCTATCATATCTCCTCTCAGCCTTCTCTTCTTCAGGCTAAACATGCCCAGCTCCCCAAGCCGCTCCTCATAGGGCTTGTTCTCCAGACCCTTGATCATTTTAGTCGCCCTCCTCTGGACACATTCCATGTCTGCTTTTTTATCCGTGACTTCCTTTTTTATACATGTCTGTGCTGTAACTTTCTTAATGTATGCCAATAAAGGCCGTTGTTGTTCTTCTTCTTGTTGTTGTCATCTGAGAGCCTGAAGAACTTTATAGGGTGGGTTGAGATGTTGTCCTTAATTCCAGGAGTAGCTCCACCCAGTATTCCCAGGAAGTCCAGTGTGAAGCGGTTAACTTCCTACTCCTTCCAGGATGCACAGAAAACAGTGAGATTGCCATCAAGTGAATCCACGTACTCTGTTATCTGGGACAGAACATTATACAAATGGAGAAGGAAAGAAATGAACTAGAAAAAGAAACAGAAAACGCCAAAGATCTTTTAAAAAAAATCCAAAGGACACGAGAAGGCAGTGGGATGATTTCTTCAGTATTTAGTATCTGCCCTGCTAAAGAATGGGCATTAGAATAATTCATAAATAGTACTATTACACACTAATCCTTCAGAAAATTAATAATATTTGGAAAGGTAGTAATAAAATAGAACATTGGCAAGTTAAATATGACCAAAAATAGTGAAAAAAATCAATTTGGATAAGCAAAACATTTGGTCAAAAAGCACATTATAGAGGAGCACAACTATTATTTTCCATATTTGAAAATGAAGATGAAAGATCTTATTGCACTCCTATTAAAGATCTTATTGCACTCCTATAAAGATCTTATTGCACTCCTATTAAATGTTGCAAAATTAGAAATACTGACATGGTGGGAAATGTTGGAAGATCTTTCAATATAGTGATAAAACACTACATGAAAAGCTAATATATAAAATGATATTGGCAAAAGGACACATTAAAAAGGATAAACTTGGAAAGGCTTCTCTTTATTACTTTCTTTACTCGTATGGTTTCTGGCTATAATCCACATCTAATCAAACCTTTTTTGCTGGAAAAGTGTGTTTTGAATGTTAAGAACATTGTAAGACCTATTTACAGTGATAGACCTTGATATATATTTTGAGAGGAAGGGAATGGGCTAACAGGGCTAGAATGTGAGGCACCAAGATGTGTGTTGGTCAGTGTTAGTGGGATAATAAGCTCAAATCCACAATTTCTTCTCTGTTTCAGGAGCAATTCAATTTGAATGCTGCCCTTTAGACTTTCTTTGGTTCTTCTTAGCTGATATTTTTTTTTTCCTAACTGTATGGCATTTTGGAACAAGCTTAACTCTTCCCACAGTTTCAGCCATCAGAGAATTTTACCATACAATATCATCACCGCTGATCTTATTTTTCATGCTGAATTAACCTTTTGGGGTAAATCCATCTTTGAAAATTTGGAAGTAGACAGCTTTGGGTTGATAGGACAATTTTTACCCTATATCAGTTGATTGGTTCTGCTGATGAATGTCTCCCATCCTTAGGATTAAGATACAATCTTCCATTTTCTACAGAATGTCAGTATCTCCAATTATAACATATATTAGTACTGAGGTATGGTTCTGCAGCTTAAAGCACATCTAAGTCTTAATTTAGAAATGTTCTTTGTGTCCATGGGGGGAGGGGGGTGGAAACACCCTCCCATGTTCATTTCATACATATTTTTGTAAGTCAATCACTTCCTCTTTTTTTGAGACAACAAAATGGTTAAAAAGGTATACTGTAGAAGTGGAAACACAAATTTGAACTTATAATATACAGACCTCAAATCTACAGAAAAAGAAATTGTTAATTCAACCCTATCTCAGCACAACAAAAATGGTTCAAAAGAAAAAGATTCGAAGTTAGACCTTTAAGAATTAAGTTTTCAAAAGCTTTGAATAGATGGATCTATTAGTTTCATAATTCCTGGTATTCACGTGTTTTAATAATAATAATAATAATAATAATAATAGTAATAATAATAATAATAATCTGTCAATTCCATTCCTGAAAAAACTTGCAAATGCCGGGATAGAAATATTGGGAAGTAGATTTATGAATGGATGGTTATAATTTCCACTCACCTATACTGCCTAATCCTAGAAGTTCTAGTCAGATTAAGTGTTGTATATTTTCTGAGTTGGATGCACCACTTTGGAGAAATAGGGCAGTATATAAATTATTATTATTATTATTTGATGCATTTATTAACCGCCATTCTCAGCCCCTTAGGGCGACTCATGGCGGTGTACACACATATAAAAGACAGTTTACAAAAGGCAATTTCAACAACATATAAACTACATAACAATTACAAAACTACACTAAAAATCCGCTTCGTCTCATAGTGGAATCATAAGCCAATCTCAAATTCCTTATTCCATTCCAATCATCTTTACCACATAGTTATAACACTTAATTAAATGCCTTCTCGAACAGCCATGTCTTAAGGCTTTTTCGGAAGGTCATGAGGGAGGGCGCCTGTCTGATGTCTACAGGGAGAGTGTTCCACAGCCGGGGGGCCACCACCGAGAAGGCCCTCTCTCTCGTCCCCGCCAGACGTGCCTGTGAGGCAGGCGGGATCGAGAGAAGGGCCTCCCCAGACGATCTCAAGGTCCTCGTGGGCTCATAGGCCAAGATGCGGTCCGAAAGGTATTTTGGGCCGGAACCGTTTAGGGCTTTGTAGGCCAAAACCAGCACCTTAAATTGGGTCCGGTAGCAAATCGGCAGCCAATGGAGCTGGGACAACAAGGGCGTTGTGTGCTCCCTGCCCCCCGCTCCAGTTAGTAACATGGCTGCCGCACGCTGAACCAGCTGAAGCTTCCGGGCCGTCTTCAAGGGCAGCCCCACGTAGAGAGCGTTGCAGTAGTCAAGGCGGGATGTGACCAGAGCGTGTACCACCGTGGCCAAGTCAGACTTCCCGAGATACGGGCGCAGCTGGCGCACGAGCCTAAGCTGTGCAAATGCTCCCCTGGTCACCGCTGACACCTGGGGATCCAGGCTCAACGATGAGTCCAGGGTCACACCCAAGCTGCGAACCTGCGCCTTCAAGGGGAGTGCGACCCCATCCAGCACAGGCTGTAACCCTATACCCGTTCGGCCTTGCGACTGACCAGGAGTACCTCTGTCTTGTCTGGATTTAATTTCAGTTTGTTCGCCCTCATCCAGACCGTTACAGCGGCCAGGCACCGGTTCAGGACCTGGACAGCCTCCTTAGTAGCAGGTGGGAAGGAGTGACAGAGTTGGACATCATCTGCGTACAGATGACACCGCACCCCGAAACTCCGGATGATCTCACCCAGCGGCTTCATGTAGATATTAAACAGCATGGGGGACAGTATGGAACCCTGTGGAACCCCACAAGTCAAAGGTTGTGGTGTAGAACAGGAGTCCCCCAATAACACCTTCTGGGTGCGGCCCTCCAGGAATGACTGGAGCCACTGCAAAGCAGTGCCCCCAAGGCCCATTTCCGCAAGGCGCCCCAGAAGGATACCGTGGTCGATGGTATCGAAGGCCGCTGAGAGGTCCAGGAGCACCAACAGGGACACACTCCCCCTGTCTAGCTCCCGGCGCAGATCATCCACTAAGGCGACCAAGACCGTCTCGGTACCATGTCCCGGTCTGAAACCAGACTGTGCTGGATCCAGATAATCCGTGTCTCTCAAGAATACCTGGAGTTGTGAGGCCACCACGCTTTCCATGACTTTGCCCAAAAAGGGGAGATTGGAAACAGGCCGAAAGTTGTCCAATTTAGTGGGGTCCAGTGATGGTTTCTTCAACAGCGGCTTTATGATAGCCTGTTTTAGGCTCGCTGGAATCTTGCCTTCCCGAAGGGAGGCATTCACCACCACTGTTACCCACTCAGCCAATCCCCCTCTGGCCTCCCTTAGAAGCCAGGATGGGCAGGGGTCTAGGATGGACGTGGTGGGCCTCATTCCTCCAAGTATCTTGTCCACATCCTCGGGTTTCACAAACTGAAAAGAATCCATCAAAATAGGACAAGCAGGTGCTCTTGTTACATCCTCGGAGACTGCATTTAACGCGGCGTCCAGCTCAGAACGGATCAAGGCGACTTTGTCTGCAAAGAACCGAGCAAATGCTTCACAGCGCGTGACCGAATTGTCAGGGCTCCCGTCTGAGGTGACGGGAGTTAAAAGGCCTCTGACAATCCGAAACAACTCCGCCGGACGGTTCTTTGCAGACGCAATAGTGGCCGCAAAGAAGGTTTTCTTTGCGGCCTTTATTGCCGCGGCATATGCCCTAAGAAAGGACACAAACCGTGCTCGATTTGACTCGCTCGGATCCGAGCGCCACACGCTCTCTAGTTCCCTCTTCCTTCGCTTCATCACTGCCAGCTCCTCAGTAAACCAAGGGGCTGGTTTAGCTCGGCTACTTGAGAGGGGACGTTCCGGAGCGATCATGTCAATTGCCCTGGCCATCTCCCCATTCCAGAGAGCGACCAAGGCCTCGACATGGTCACCTACCGAGGTGGCGGGAAAATCCCCAAGAGCCATCAGGAATCCATTGGATCCATAAGCCTCCTGGGGCGGACCATCTTAATGGGTCCTCCACCTGCAGAGGTTAGGGGGCGCAGTGAGTCTAAATCTGATCAGGAAGTGGTCGGTCCATGGCAACGGAGAGATGGACAACTCCTCCACACCGCCACCCTGTTCCCATCCCTGGCAGAAAACCAAGTCCAATGTGTGTCCAGCACAGTGGGTGGGGCCAGATATTTGTTGGGACAGCCCCATGGTTGCCATGGCAGACATGAAGTCCTGAGCCGCACCTGTGAGGGCCGCCTCGGCATGGATATTGAAGTCTCCCAGCACAAGGAGCTGTTGAGACTCCAACGCCAGGCTCGAGACCACCCCCGCTAGCTCAGGTAGGGAGACTGTAGTGCAGCGAGGTGGACGGTACACTAGCAGAATCCCTATTCTGTCCCGGTCACCCACCCTCAGGTAGACGCATTCAAAATTTGTGGTCTGCGGGATGGGGCACCTGGTCAGATGGATGGAATCTCTATAGACCACTGCGACCCCGCCTCCCCGCCCTCCGGATCTCGGTTGGTGCTGCACGGAGAAGCCTGGAGGACAAAGCTGGGTCAGATTTACTCCTCCAGCTTCATCCAGCCAGGTCTCCGTGATGCACGCCAGATCTGCCCGCTCGTCCAGGATTAGGTCCTGGATCCAGGTCGTTTTTCCGTTGACAGATCTGGCGTTCAACAGCACCACCTTCAGTCCAGAGGGTCCGCTCACCTGGTTACACCAATTTACCTTAGGAGACCGATTTGGAATTGTTAATGTAGGTAAGTGGTCCGAATTTGGCCGAATTTGAGGTCTCCTTTTCCCGCATCTCCTCCTTCCCACCACGACCTCTATGGGGGCCCCTCCGCTAGTGGAACACCTCCCCTCCTCCGTGCCGCAGTTCATGACCAAGGACTTAGTCTCTGGTTCACCAGCTGTTTGGAATGTTGGCGTTTTTTCATGCCAGTTGCTTTGGTCTTCTTTATCCCCCCTCCCCTCCTCATTGTTCTTCACAGGCTCCAGCCCCCTTCCTTCCCTGCCCCTTCCACCAGTCAATAATATCAGGGACAGTATACATAGAAGGGTGGGGGACCACATGGGTGAAATCAGTACACTTCAATAGATGGCAGTGATACAGATGGTAAACGTTCAGCCGCGAAAGTAGGATGATACTTAAAGTGCTAGAGAATTAAAGTGCAACAGTAGTAACTCCACGGCTACGAGCCACTAGGGCGATTCATAAGGTGCCAGGTCTTAAAGTGCAACAAGCTCAAACACTGGCCCTCAATACTACTAAAGTGCGGCCGGAGGGATCGGGAAGGGGTAAAGTGCAAAAACAGTTAGCAACAGAGGCAGGCGCCTTAAGGTGCTATATTATGCTCTTATTACCACATTAGCAGCAAAGGTAGAAGGAACTGTAACGTGCAATGTTCGCAATATATAAACACAGTAATTAAAGAGATTGGCAGTTGGCAGAAATACAATGATTCAGATGTAAACTATAGACGACTGATGTAGGAGTAGCGGATGGTCCTCCGGAGGTGGTCAACACGGTGATGGTCAGCCCAGTTGGTCTATATCCGGCTAAGTTGCCCAACAGGCAACACACTGTCGGTCTACACAGAAAGCGGTCCACACAACAAGATCTATACATCGATCACCAGAAAAGGTCAACACAAAAAGGTCTACACAATATCGGTCAACACAGAGAGGTCAGCACAGAGAGGTCTACACATTGCTTGCCCAAAGGTTTGCACACTGCAAGGAGGTCTACACACTGCTTGCCCAGATGGTGGAGGCCCAAATGGCGGAAGATGGTAATGGGCCAGGTGTCTCGGCCCGGCTCAAGTAGCCCAGGGCCCAGATTCCAGTGGCTCCTGCGATGCCGTGGCCCGCTCGGCAAGGCCTGAAGAGCAAAGGCCCAGCGTCCTGGATGAGCCCGGACGAACCGTGCTGGATCCGACGGCGGCGTCCTCTCGAGGTCGCACCGCAGCTTCGCCGCTTCGCCTGCTTCTCCCTGATGGAGGGGAACGAGCCCAGGCAGTTCACCTTTAGAGGCCTAATGGAGAGGGATGAGCCGGCCGTTCGGATGGTCTCGAGCGGCTTCTGCGCTGGTGGCGGCCTCTGCGGCGGCAGCGGCAGCGGCTCCGGCGGCGGCCCTGGCCTCCGTTCGGCCTCTACGTTGACTCCGGCGGCCCCCGGTTCGGCCTCCGCGGCGGCCCCCGGAGGCAGCGGCCCCGGTGGTGGTTCAGCCTCCGCGGCGGCGGCGGCAGCGGCGGCGGCCCGGGTCTCGGCTCGGCCTCCGCGTTGGCTCCGGCGGCCCCCGGCTCGATCTCCGCGGCTGCGGCGGCCCCGGCGGTGGTTCGGCCCAGGCCGCGGCTCGGCCTCCGCGGCGGCGGCGGCCCCGGCAGTGGTTCGGCCCAAGCCGCGGCTCAGCCTCCGCGGCGGCGGCGGCCCCGGCGGTGGTTCGGCCCAGGCCGAATGCAAGCAATAGTAGTGAATCTCTTTAGAAAAGTGATCAAATTGGCAAGACAGAAGCATACCATATCCACAAAGTGGTGAATTAGGGATCTGGCCATCTTTAATCTACATATAGTCAAACGCAACATGGTCCTCTTACTGCTAGTAACTATGATTGCAAATCTTCATTCTTTATTCGCTCTCTGTGCTTGCATTCGAGTATGTGTGTGTGTTTGTGTGCATGTATTTCATTTCTGCAGGAAAAAGACTGAAGGTTTCTGCATAATTTGTGAGATGTAGTCATTGTCATATTTGCAAACTATCAGAAAATTACCGTATTTCATCGCATAACAGTAGTTGCCATTGCATATTCATCATATATCCCTTCTTTCTTCACATAATAGTTGCACCATTAATTGATGGGTTTGATTGGTATGCAAGGAGACAACCCTCTGTAGCTCATAAAGGAGAGGCAATTGGGTGGGTAATTTCAGAGAGAGAGCACTACAAAGTCTTCCTCAGCTGGCATAGACAAGAGAGGACCTGTACCTCTCTTTCCAGAAGGTGCATATGTGGATGAGCCTTCACCCACCCATGCACCTGCCAGCCAGAGCACAAGGAACCTCACAACTCTTCCCATCGTTGCCACCCCCTACCACCACCAAAAAGGTAGGAAAGTGTGACTATTGTGCAGTGAAATATGGTATGTTATACAGAAATGTATGTGTTTTCTGAATGAAAACCATGTTTGTGTTCAACCCTGCCAGACTGCTCCAGGCCACATCAGGATGCCCATCTTATATAACCCCTGAGAATATTAGGGCATTTTTTTCACAGACTCATGAAGTAGGCTGGATCCAGTGTCCTGAATGTCCCATTTAGGAACTGGCCCAGCCGTCCTGTCAGATGAAACTAGCTCAGGATTTGGTGCCTCCCCCCTGGATGAAACTGGATCAACCCCACAGGGCATTTAGACACCAAAGAACTAATTGTACATCGCACCAACCTAAATGGTCATTGCAGTCATGTTTTTTGAGACAACAAAATGGTTAAAAAGGTATACTGTAGAAGTGGAAACACAAATTTGAACTTATAATATACAGACCTCAAATCTACAGAAAAAGAAATTGTTAATTCAACCCTATCTCAGCACAACAAAAATGGTTCAAAAGAAAAAGATTCGAAGTTAGACCTTTAAGAATTAAGTTTTCAAAAGCTTTGAATAGATGGATCTATTAGTTTCATAATTCCTGGTATTCACGCGTTTTAATAATAATAATAATAACAATAATAATAATAATAATAATAATAATCTGTCAATTCCATTCCTGAAAAAACTTGCAAATGCCGGGATAGAAATATTGGGAAGTAGATTTATGAATGGATGGTTATAATTTCCACTCACCTATACTGCCTAATCCTAGAAGTTCTAGTCAGATTAAGTGTTGTATATTTTCTGAGTTGGATGCACCACTTTGGAGAAATAGGGCAGTATATAAATTATTATTATTATTATTATTATTATTATTATTATTATTACATACACACACACACATATGACATCTTCAGAGGATCTAATGGTACTCAAGCAAGTGGGATATATATACCTGTAGGATGTCCAGGGTGGGAGAAAAGAAACATTGTCTGCTAAACAAGTGTAAACAGTGCAATTAGCAAGCTAGATTTTTATGTGTTGAGTGGGATCCACCCATTAGCATGTGAGTAGGGCATCTGCATGGAAAGACTGCAGGGGTCCACAAACTTTTTAAACAGAGGGCCAGGTCACAGTCCCTCAAACTGTTGGAGGGCCGGATTATAATTTGAAAAAAAAACCATGAATTAATTCCTATGCACACTGCACATATCTTATTTGTAGTGCAAAACACTTAAAACAATACAATAATTAAAATGAATAACAATTTTAAGAAATATAATTTAACTGATTTATGAGGCCATAAAAAATCTCCAGGAAGTAGGCAAAGAATGAGGAAGTACTTCATCAGTGTCACAAATGGACGGTGAAGCAACAGCTCCCCTGGTGGCCAGAAGCTGGAATGTTAAATAGCCTCTGAGTGTCTGTCTATATATGTTATGTGTCTATGACATTGAATGTTTGCCATGTTTATGTACATTGTAATCCGCTCTGAGTCCCCTGCAGGGTGAGAAGGATGGAATATAAATACTGTAAATAAATAAATAATAAATAATAAATTTATTAGTATTTCAATGGGAAATGTGGGCTTACTTTTGGCCTATGAGATAGGATTGTTGTTGTGTGCTGTCAAGTCGTTTCAGACTTAGGTTGACCCTGAGCGAGGGCCGGGTAAATGACCTTGGAGGGCCATATCCAGCCCCCGGGCCTTAGTTTGAGGACCCCTGGTCTAGACTTTGTTCCCTACTCACCCCAGTGATTCTGGCTTCGACAATACATTGACCATCTAGTCAGATTTTCCAACAGGAAATCTAAATCAGTCTGAAATGCCAGGTTCTGCATAACCCACTCCTGCCACCTGCCCCCCGAAATGCTGTGAGAGGAGCAGCAACCTCATCCTGCTGATAATAGCAGGATCAAAGTTTATTTACACTGCATTATAAATACTGAACTATGCAATAGTTGCTCTTCCCTAGTTCACAAAAATGACTCCTGTCAGATAGAGGTGTTTCTCTACCATGAAAATGAAAATTGTTATTGCCAGCCTCTATATTGGGATCAGATGACATATTATAAGACTGCTGTTTCTAATGATTTGATGGTGTCTCTCTGTGTGTGGGTGGTAGTATATAGCCCCAGTACCATTATAACAGCCTGTTTGTATGGTGAGCCCATTCAATCACTCCAAAATAGCAGTATAGATTTTTTGCTCATTGTCTTCTGAGGCTGAGAAGCATTTTTTAAGGTTAACCCTAATAGACACATTTGGGATTTTATTTTTTTGGCATAACACAAAATTATCCAGGCTTCTGAATGGCAAACAGCTCAAGGAGGCTCATAGGTAGCTGATATGCATATATACTGTTTCAAGCAGAATTAGACAAGGACACAATGAGCGAAAACAAGCTGACATCAAGCAATTAGAGACAAATAAGAGAGCAGATTGTAAGTAGCACTTCAAATTTACAGATGAAGAATATGAGCAATTGATTTGGCCTGTTTAACATTCTAACAAAGGTTTCCCACTAGTGCTAATAGAAGAGAGGCTTATCAAGGACTCTTCAGTAAAAAGATGACCACAATTGTACATACTTTTTTTTCTGAAAATAATATCCAATAGTGCAGAGCTCTCTCTGCAAAAGAATGGATATGTTTCAGTCAGAGCTAAGGAAGTTCTTCTTAAAGAATTGAGAACAAGGCCACACAAAAACTGAAGTATTATTGTACATTGTGTATGTGTGTGTGTGCACCAGTATATATAGCGTGTTTCAAAAAGATGGTTAAATTTAAAATGGCTAACTCTCTGCAACCACAAACCACCCAATGAATTAAACTTTTACTACTTGAAGGGGGCATAGAGTTTCAAATGATTACCTCTAGATCAGTGGTTCTCAACCTGTGAGTCCCCAGGTGTTTTGGCTTGCAACTCCCAGAAATCCCAGTCAGCTTACCAGCTGTTAGGATTTCTGGGGGTTGAAGGCCAAAATATCTGGGGACCCACAGGTTGAGAACCACTGATCTAGATGCTTCT